GAGATGGGAAACGAAATACCTTCAATTCCGCTGCTATGTAGTAATTTATACTAGTCCTTTTGTCTCCTTTGAAGCTTTTTGTCTAGGTCAATCTTCTTGTTCATGCTGCAGGTTTCTGAAATCAAGAGCTTCTGTGTTTTTTTTAGGGCAGAGAAGCTGAAGATGGGTGGTGGACTACTGGACTGAGGCTTATTGGGGAGAACTCGAATGGGTCGTGTTGTACTGGGAAAAAACAGAGACATCGAAAAGGTTTTGTTGGGGAAGAAGATTCAGAGAAGGAAAGAAGAAGACGCGGCTGTGAAGAACAATGGAGAATAAGACTTAAGAGACTAATTAGGAATTGACCATCTTTACGCATATTCTGCCACGTTGGTTTATGAGATAAACATTACATATACTAATGTTCAAGAGTTTTAAGTTTATAAAAATTAGAGTTTTAATTGTACCAAAAATAATTAGAGTTTTAATCAAAGTAAACTAAAGTTTCTTTTGAGGCACGCATTTTTCATTTGAGTAAACTTCATAAATATTACAAATAACTATATGCTCTAAATAAACAAATTTTATTAATTAACCTAATTATACTATTTATATGCCTGCCTACAACTTAAAACAGAAGACTCGGTTACTATACTCTACAGAAGTCAAGTTACATGTAAGTTTTCCATATAATCTCTCATGTTTATGCATATCTTTATAGCTGTATTTTTAGATTTTTAATTTATTTTTTGTCGAATCCCAGCACTCGTACCCGTACCTAGATCCATATCCTCGAATCCTAAAATTTAGATCATGAAGGATCCGATCTCTGGATCCGTACCCGTGCCGGACACCCGCACCCGAGTCCGAGTAACTTAAATTCGTAGAATAATGGGCGGTAGAAGATTCAGTGTGGATTGAAGAGAAAACATGCACCCGTAAACTCATTTTGAAGTGTCGCTGCAGTCAACGAGTGATGATAAAAACTACATGTCAAAGCAAAATATATGATACACCAGAGCCCCCATCCACACGGACTCATAAGTATCCTAATTAAGATATATTATTTTCAATGAGTACAGTGTCCTACTTAAGATATGTTTAGATGTCTCAAGGAATTTGGGAATTCATAAAGATTTTTAGGTTCAAATATTTTTAAAAACCAAATTCATCAGGATAATCATCGAATGACAAAGTTCAAAGATTACTAAAGTGAGAACGGAGAACCACTATAAAAAGAAGGTTAGAATCAATTTAATCAGAAGGTTAATCCTCGTACATTCGTAGGTAAACTCAATTTTCCCGGCTACTCAATATTCAAATTTGAACTCAAGCCCCCACCAAACTAGTACCAACAAATAATATCTCCACTCAAAAACATACAACTTCATTATCCCAGCCAGTACCTTAATTTTTCACCCTCCAATAAAGTATACAACAACTACTACACCTCAATCTCAAACTCTAGTCAGGGTTGGCCGAAGAATCCTCAATGAACATGTCACTCCATTTAAGCTCATCTCAGGCCAATATTATACAAAAATAAAATAGAGGTAAAATGTACATTCTCAAATAAAGTTATATTATATGTTAGAAAATAAAACATTCAAGTAGAGTCAGTAGAAAGATGATAAAATCAGAGTACTCACCCTTTTCAAAGAATCTGACCTCCGCATGTAAGCCTCGCTCCCTGAAAGCTGCATGTCCTCTTTTCGGAACTTCTGAGAGAATTCCATGCATATACAAATTCGAGAAAAAGGTAGGTAAGCCAAAGTGTCACCACGCTAAACAGAATTAAGATTGTACAGCTCAAGTACTGAGGGTGTTAAATTGAGAATTGTCAAATCCAGGAGATATTATCAACCTGATAAATTTAGAACAAAAGATGCTAAATCATTAATTATTAAGTCCCTTCTCTGTATTGATCTTGAAAAATCTTCACCCTTTCTTTTACTTAAGTAGAAATCGAGTTTGGGTGATGAGTCCCTTCAACTTCGAGTTGGTCTGCAGCTACCAATTCAAGTTTAAGTGATAATATCCGGGAGATTTATAAGTAATAACACCATACCTCTACCTCTTTTCAGTGACTGAGAATAGAATTTTTTTTTCCTGCATGTGGTGCAAAGTCTGCGTACACATTACCCTTCCCAGACCCCACTGATTACACTGAATTTTTTGTTGTTGTTGTTGTTGTTGTTGTATGTAGTGTAAGAAACACTTTCTTGTTGTGCAATTATTAACAACTTCCCTGAGGGAAGAATTGCAAAACAACTTTTCCTTTTTAGGTGATTGAGTACTGCTCCAACGTCGCTTCAACCAGTGTTGTCAAAGGCGCGCTTTAAGCGAGCTTAAGCCCTGAAGCGAGGTTCAAAACATGTTGAGCGCTTCGCTTCGCTTTGGGGGCGCTTCAGTGTCGCATCAAGGCTCTAAGGCATACTTTTCCTTGCCAATGACCGTAATCCTAAAAAGGCGACACTAAGACTAAGCAATTGATATTTCATTTTATCATAATTCTTTTTCAATTTTGTTGTCTGTATATGTGTTATTCATGCTTATAATTATTGGTCTTGGACTACATATATAAATTTTTACTTTTTCTCCGGTTGAACCATTTTTCATTAAAGCCCATGCTTTATTTGTGATTTGCGCTAAAGCCCCATCAGACCTTAGAGCTTCTTTGCGCTTTTCGCCTTTGATAACACTGGCTTAAACAATATTATGTGGATGACTTATTCTTCAACTTATGAAATTAAGCACAAACAATATCCCCAGGAAATGGCATTTATAGCAGTTCGACTATTAAAGCAACCAAATAGGCACATTAGAACAAGTTGAAGGTTCAAAATACATAACCTTGAAAAAGGAACTTCATACTCACCTCCAAGGTCCCCAGCAGCTGTCCCAACATTCTCTTATTCCTACTAACCAATTTAGGATCCTCATTTTTTGGCAACACTCTCGGCACAGGTTCCGGTGGAGGAACATCAGAATCCTACACACATTATTTAAAGCGAATGAAATTCAATGTCTTCAATGTCCAGAAACACACCATTGTCTATAAGAAGAAGAATAAAGGACTAACAAAAAGAATACATGGCCCCCAAAAAGGTGTCCATCCATGTTTACCATTTTTGAGGGTCTTTGATTGCCATCCCTCCGAAGCCAATTGGATGGCTTTCTCTCATTCTGTCTGACATGTGCCTCCCGTGAACTTCCCTCCTCGACAGCTGAATCTTCCTTATTTGCATCCGTTGGAGCTCCAGAGACATCGTCAGCAATCTCCCCCTCTTCAATCTGAATTCAAAAATCAATCCAATAAAAACAAAAGATCTTGTTTTTCTAGTTGAAACGAAGCCAATAACAACCACCACAACAACATATCCTTAATCCCACAAAAAATTGCAATTCGGCTATAAATTGTCCATATTTATCCCGCTCATTTCCATTCAACACGGTTTTAAGGCAAATTAGTAATTTTCTTGCGGGGGATTATCCAATATTCAGTGTTCACCTTCACAACAGCTGAAGAAATACGCCTTTTAGGTGCTGGCTGATCCTCTGCATCATTCCTCTCCGCCTAAATAACCAATTAGCCAAAAACACCAAACTCAATAAACGAAAACGATGTAGTTAACAGGAAGCTTCATCAAAAAGGATATGAGGAGAGAACTTACAGGTCTAACAAGGCCACGTTGGCGGCCGCCGTTGGCAACAAAACTCCGAGGACCACCGCCACCGGAGAATCCACCGCGGCGAAGACCTCTTGGATCCTTAAGCCGCTCAGTTATCTAGTCAAGAGATAGTATAGTGGTTACAAAAAGGGAAAAAACCTAGAAATCCAGCAAACAGAAAGAGATTGAATACACACAGAGAAAGAAAGAGAAAGAGAGGACCTCGCGTTGTTGACGATTCAGTTCAAAGAGTTCTTTGCGGAGCTCTTCCTCCGTCTTCTCCCCTACGGCGCTCGCCATTTTTTAGGGGTTTCTGCTTCTTCACTATATTTTCTTCTCCCTTAACCAGCCAACGATAGAGCCAGTAGAGGTCCTTAATTAAGTGACTCGTGAACCGCCCCGGTTCGGTTTTGTTAGATTCTTTTTTCCATTCAGGAAAATCATACAGAAGAAAAAAATATGTCAAGATAACCATTTGGCACTCTAAAAAGAACTTTTACATTATTAAACAACTAGCTAAATATGATTAATTACACGTAATTATTTATTAAAAGTAAGATTATTAACATAAAAATAAAAAGTAACTTCATACAGCTGATTAAAGTATTATGTATATAAGATATTTTCTATTATCAATGAATATATGTGTATAGGGTAAAATGAGTTCATATTAAATGCTTGTATAATACAGTGACACATGGAACCAAAGACAGATGGAAGTCAAGACTGGGGCAGCAGTCTCGGCTGGCATCGGGAAGCCCCCGAAGGGAACGTTGCTCATGAAGACAGATGAATACCTGTCATCCGATAGCATTCAATGAAGAAAATTCTGCAGTATTAAATATATAATCCATTATAGAGAATATGTCATTCATAGTCTGCCGTTACACATTCTTCAATGGCCCAAGAAGGGCTTGATCCTACGACCTTGTTCCCTAGGTGCCACTACAGATAAGGATTCCAACAACCATTGTAAGGACATGAATTTTTTGACAAATTTACGCTATATAGTGTTTAAAGCTCAATAACACTTTATTTTCTTGCTTCTTAATATTGTTATTAGTGCCTTCGAAAGCTTTGCTCCCGGAGCCAAACTCTCTACTGTCTTATCTCGATTTCACCGCTAAGTCTTACATCCTCATTTAATTTATTTGTCATTTTGGGATCAAATCGATTCGTTTGTCTATAAACCACGTATAAATTCAACTGTACCATTTTACATATAAACAGCTTGGCGCCCACCGTGGGGCTTAGACAGTTGCGTAATTGAGTTGATCTTTGCACCTATTTCTAACCTGTTTGATTCTTTGTTCTTAGCAAAAAATCATAAAAATGGCAAATAACGATGTCAACATCGCACACAACATTAAAGCCCAAGGAAATCAGCCTCAACACGAAAACTCGATCAGTGATACCCACAACGAGGGGGATAAGACCACGCTGGTCCATGGCGGAAAATATCCACGACATATTCAAGAGGCAACTCCTGATGATGCTGAGGACGAACATGTTGCTAAAACAGTAAGAATCCTGAGGGAGCAACAAAAGGCTATTATGGGCGACCTCTCACGATAGGATCAGGTCATGACGGAACTGAGGCAGGCATTGTCGGGCGCTTCCAATAATGTGAATGGACGAGGTTCAGTTTCCCCCGGTGCTCCCACAAACCAAACAACCCCGAGGGTTGAAACTAACACCCTGAGGGGCGAAGT